GTCCAATGACTTGAAAGTAAATAAAAGAATGACTTCTTTAGATGTTCGATATTAATAATAGAATATGCAGGTGTACATTTTTTTTATTTATCTTATGGGATTTCGTTACAATTTATAGATAATTATGTTGTTTAAGTGTGGTCTAATATGTTTACAAGGCTCTACAGGGTTATTTTTCAAAGAGTAGCCAGATCAGAATAGGTAATATAAGCGAATGGTGAAAAAAAATTTACAAGGAAAAAACTGAAACGTTATATACTTTATATTCAAAATGTGTAGAAATGCATTATTTTTATTGATTGTCATTCATAAATATGAAGCGTCTATTATTTTACATTCGTAAGGGAGTATTTAGGGAGGTATCTAATAGCTGTTGTTTTGATTCAGTAAAAACAAACGCGTCTCCCCGGCTCCCCGCCCTTTCCCTTCCGCACCGCTGGGTACGTTCACATGACCGACCGACAATGTTGATTTGAACGTGACCTCATTACGTACCGAGTGTCCTATTTTTAAATGTTTGTAGGTAGTATAAGATTATAGGAAAGTGAGTCTTTACCCCGTTTGCATAGACAAGGAAATAACGCGCGGGTATCATCCAATCGGAGTGTGTATCAAACCAAATGCTATTAGACTTTGGACAGTTCACCACTCTGTCACATGGAAGTGCTCGAGGTGGTCATTCAGTAATAAGCCCAGCTGTCGAAAACACAGTGATCGAGTTTTTCGAGCGAAACCCCCGCGCTAGCAACAATATGACTGCATCATTCGAGAATTCAGGGTTAGCCTAGGGTTAGATATCACTCATTCCATTATCAACTTGTGCAAGCACTGAATAATAACGATTGTCCATCTCGAAAAAAAATTATTATGTGGACTGTCAAAGCCCTATTTACGCGTGTAGGTCTTTATAATAATCGTAACGAACTTTACTCTACTGTATGCAACCCACACGCTATAAAAGACAGTTATCATCAAGTGCGATTTTTACTTTTCATAATTATGGGCCCGTTCATTGAAAGACGATTAATGGGTGGTAATTATTATGTTACAAGGTGTTACTCAAGATTTCCTAGACGATATACCCCTAGCGTTACTGAATAAAATTTATTTCCAACACGACGGTTCTCCGCCTCGTTAGTCAGTGAGTTATTATATATTCACTGACTAACTAAATAAATATTATTGACTAACTAAATATTTCAGATATTTTCAAATAAATGTAGAAACCTTATTTATGCGTATTTTTAAAAAGTGTATATCAGTATTTATATTTTGAACTTAATTACTTAATTATTAAATTTGGTTAATCTTTGAAAAATAACCCTGTATAAATAATGATACACCGTTATTGCAGTTTTTGAAAATACAATAACAACTACGCGTACGCGCGCTCCTCTCAACGTTTTTGCCGACCAATCGACCCTTACCAATGTGTGCGTGCGTAGTAAAATAGTACTTACTACTGCTATCAGCGCCAAAATGGCGAAAATCAAATCACCTCATTATCTCACGGTGTATATAGTCAGTCCAGCGTACTTGTATACAGGATTACTGGGAACTCGACAACTTCCTGGCAGGGCGTGATAGGGGGAGTCAAAATGCTACAAATTTGACCCCCCATATGTATGGCCGAAAATGAACAGGTCTTGAGATATTCGGATTTTAAAGCTTTTTCAATAATCACCCAGAATTTCGTATTCAATTCTAAATAAAAATAAAATTAAGACCCATAATTTTTTATTGCGAATACTTTTGTACTTTTTATGATTGTATTCGCTTGTTTGAAGCTTCAAGAAAATAAATAAACCTAAAAGAAAGCATATGTAGGAAGTATAGTGGGTATAGTACCAAAGACTGATTTTGTAGTTAGGAATAATAATTAATTCGTTTACACGAATTAATTATCCAACGAGCCGAGGATAAACTAGTAACGGAATACGACAAGCGCACCGTTCCACGTCAGAGCCAAGACTGTCCTAACGGCGGCAGCTCCGTCCGTTTTATACAAGCTAAACGGACGCCACCGCAGGTGCAATGGTGCAGGTGTGCGGATCACGTGTTATTTACAAGAATTCTGTCTAGCTACCGCCGTCGCAGGTGCAATGGTGCACGTGCCGTCACGGCCATACTGACATGCGTGCGTTCTCGCACGCGCTCCATCACAATGTTAGTTATCTGTAGACAGAAAAACATCGTTCGATTCTCCTGACAAAATAGCGTCTGGTCCGGTCTATATTAACCGTTCAGACTGGGGTGACAGTCAGTTTTGTTCCGGCAGTAAGCCCTACAAAACTTTAATCATCTTTATGTTAGATCGGAATTATTAGTCTGTAGCTTTTTCTATTTTCTCTTTTTTTTCAAGTACTGTTTTCGCTAGTCCTGATTCACTATTCCCTATAGCTATATCACTGGACCGGCACAAAGCCCTGCAATGATTGTAAGAACTATTCTTTTTTCTTAATCTCTTTTTTTTTCAGTACTATTTATGCTAGTCCGGAATCACTATTCCCTGTAGCTATATCATTGCACCGGTAAACGCCCTGCAATTTTTTTTCAATTCAGTATAGAACAGTTACAGACCAACCATACCGCAAACATGTCCCCGTCACAATCACACAAAGGTGTATCGTGAGGGACGTAGTGACACGATAACACCTAAGTATGTAAACCAACAGCAACTCGACACATATCCCAGTGCAGCACAGACCAGCCTCCCTGCAACTTCATGTTCCTTTCCTGCACTAGAATAATTACTTCGCTAGAGTGTTGCAACGTCTCTAGTATTTTCTAGATGCACAGACACGGCTACCTCTGACTGTCGCACGTCCTCGTGCGGTTGACAGTGAACAGCATGCGGTTTATCAGTTATCACCACCTGCTAACAGATATTAACTCTTGTTAAATATTACAACGGTCGACCATCCCAGACTTCATTTAAGTCTGGAACGCGCCGATATGGCTATCTCCAGGCAAACGCACTACAGCTTTTCGTTCTGCTGCGTTCGTGCCACATTCGCGCCAGCAAGCCGTCGCGCCGTACTAGCGCTAGCGAATCGTCGCACTGCTTTGAAAATTAAAAGAAATCGAGATAAATGTATTGCGAACCATGGAATTCCGAGCTTCCAAAATTCATCACATATTCTCTTAAGAAACGGCAACTGTATGACATTTGAAAATATTGCAAAAAAAAATGGAAACTAAGTGTAGAGACAGATACCACAAGATATTTCGAAGCGAAAGAGGCAACTGCGCAAAATCTACGAAAGCCGTCCATTTACAGCGCCAAAGCACCATTTGTTTGGCGGCCGCTTGAATTGCCCTGCCGTAAGATCAGCCGATAAGTAACCGACTGTAGCGGTGCAGGCTCAATCTAACCAGCGCTCGGCCGTACCTGACCATGTTCGATTAGCCATCACAACGTCTTCCTCATTGATCATTGTTGTAGAGACTTCTACGAATGCCTCGAAATCAAACCCCAATCTTGTCAATGACACAATATTCGGAGCAAACTGCAACACTGATCAACACATTAGAACACAAAAATGTCACTTATTATTTTCAATCCATAGCGTGTTAAAGTTAATCCTTTAACCCTTAAACGTTTTGAACTTCAAAATATAGCAAATGATAATCATGTTTCGCGTGAACTATCAAATTACAACAAAACTTGAACAAGTTAATTAGAAAGCCTTCAACAATTCTTTTGACATTTGTTAACATATTTAGGTACGTCAAGAAATAATGAAAATACTTGCGGGTACTTTTAATACAAATCGAACAAATTAAAAAAAATTTTGCTTAAATAATTTCACTTTATCTTTTCTCTACACTTTAATGATACGACAATATCGTAAGTAGGACAGCAAATTTCATAACGGTATTTAACATAAAAACAGAATCATCAATGCGGAATGCATTATAGTCTTTCAGAAATGTAATAATCCTCATACTATTCGAAGATTGTATATGGGCAAAAATAGGGACTTTATCCCACTTCTGATGTAGGAAGTGTAGTGGGTATAGTACCAAAGACTGATTTTGTAGTTAGGAATAATAATTAATTCGTTTACACGAATTAATTATCCAACGAGCCGAGGATAAACTAGTAACGGAATACGACAAGCGCACCGTTCTACGTCAGAGCCAAGACTGTCCTAACGGCGGCAGCTCCGTCCGTTTTATACAGGCTAAACGGACGCCACCGCAGGTGCAATGGTGCAGGTGTGCGGAGCACGTGTTATTTACAAGAATTCTGTCTAGCTACACCGACGCCGCCGCAGGTGCAATGGTGCACGTGCCGTCACATACAAAACAAAAAAGGTTTTATTTTTATTTAGAATTTAATACAAAATTCAGGATGATTATTGAAAAATCTTTAAAATCCGTATTGAGATAAACCTGCTTATTTTCGGCCATACATATGGACCCCCATAAATTTGTAGCATTTTGACTATTCGTATTATCACGGTCTGCCAGGAAGTTATCGAGTACCCAGTAACCCTGTATATAGAGGTCAGCCTTCTACCTTTTAACTCCTTTCTCCTACACAGATATCTCTTTTATTTATATTTTATTTGATTTTATTAACTCCAACAACATTAAACTATATTTGTTTTTTGTTATATTTATAACATATTAATTAATATCATTCTAACAACATTGCCGTTTCTTTTAGGTGATTTAACAGCCAAATAAGTTTATCAAAATCTATCACATAATATTCTTATCCATAGTTTCTTATATAATCACATTCCCTTTCTTATGTCGATTCTTTGTTCGAATTAGAAATGACTTGTCATACTAAACTTGTCATTGGCAAAAACGTCGTAACCGCCATAAAGTAAGAAATAAGAAATATCTTCATAGTTACTTGTTGTCGGATTTTTTTACATACGTTGTATATTTTTTATAGTTATGTTCTACTTGAATTAAAAAAAAAACCGAACACCTATAGGAGCATAAATGTACATAAAAAGAAATTAAGGCGTTAAGAATTTTACCGGCAGACGCTAAAAGTCTATCTAACATCTCGGCTTGATGAGTGAGTGCGGCAGCGGCGGACATTGCGGCCGTAGTGGCAGCGGTGGTGCTCGTGGCAGTGGCCGTGGCAATCGCGTCGGGAGCGCACAAGCGAGCCGCTGCCACGCGAAGGGCCAGTTGACCCACACACGCACTCTCTTGTTCCGACACGCCGCTGAACTGATGTTGGAGTCTGCAAATGATAGTAGGTTATAATTATTTGTATATTACAGAGAATAGTTAAAAAAAGAAGTAAAGGAAAAGAAGAAAAAAGACGAAGGGGAAGGGGGTGCGAAAAAAAGAGTTAGAGAAGAGGGACAAACAAGCAGCTGGCGTCGGTGATATTACTTTAGTTCACTGTGATGGTATACTTCCATTGAATATTACATTGTTAAAGCTAGCGTGACCGTTTACTACTAACTCCTGTCTACCTTTTTAACTCCTCTATCACCTACACAGATAACTCTTTTGTATATATTTGATATGATTTTATTAACTCCAACAACATTAAACAATAAATTGTTTGTAATGTTTTCGATACCATCCACATCATCTGGATGCTTGGCGATCCACTACTGTTCGATTTACTAGGAGTTTTCTGCCTCGCACGACTTCTTTGTGGAATTCTTTACCGCCGGCGATTTAACACAGACCGAAATGACTTGGGGACCTTCAAGAAACGAATTTACTCCTTTTAGAAGGCCGGGAACGCACCTGCAATTTCCCTGGTGTTGCAGTTGTTCATGGGCAGCGTACAACACTTATCATCAAGTGAGTCGCATACTAGTTTGTCCCCTCTTCTTAAAAGAAAAAATATTATAAAGTAATTTTTTTCCTTGGTAATGGACTCGTAAGGTTGTACTTTTGCCAGTTTCAAGTATATCAAGAAATTATATTTTACATAAATTTCTTTCAAAATTTCTTCACAATAATACATCACATTGTGAAGTTTTTGGGTGACTTTAATGGCAGCTTGAGCAATCCACCACATTCGATGACGATAGTATCTCAAGGCACCTAGGCAGACACCTTTTGAGATTTACATCGCCATCGGAGCACTTGTTTTATCGTATCTACTAATAGTTCACATGCGTAGACATTTAATACACAAAATCACCACACTTTTACCACAGTTTATACCTTACAGTTGGGAATGAATGTGCTTGTGCAGAGCAACGATGGGGGCACTGCGGGACAGGGCTAACTTCACTGAGTCTAATAGACAATACATGCGGTTGGCGCGAGCGTGTTTTATAGTAATTATTTAACAAATTTTAAGTGCAGTTTTCGAAAAATATATCTATAATGGTGAATTACCTCTATAGTTATATGAGTTACTAAGTAAAATTGAATTCAAATGACGGCCATGCCAATAAAAAAATTAAGGGAAACATAATTCTCCTAATTTTTTTGTACAATTGTTTATCTGAATGCACCACATACTTAAATTTAACAATCGAAAACTGAAAACATCTATAAAAAGAAAGTGTCACGAAAATATTAGGCAGTGCAACACTTGTAAATATATTTTTTCTTGTAGTAATAAAAAATGACCTTGTTCGTTAAATGTTTTAAGTTATAAGTATGTACATAATGTTAGTAAATGATGTTGAGTATTATATCCAAAATTATTTTATTTACATTTTCGTGACAACCCCTAGCATAGCCGCGTAAATATGTACCTACGCGGGCGGCGGCATCGCCTGACATCAAAGGCGTTTTACAACTGTAAGTTCTTTAAATACTTCAAACGATTATTTAAACCGGCGGCGGTCAAGTGCGCACCAAAACTCAACATGTTCTTTATTTGTTTGTTTCTTGTAATGAGTGTGAAGGATGTGTGATTGCACAAGAAGCGTGGGCATTAGTGGCGCGCTGCAAGTGGCGTACTTGCCTCAGGCAGTCCGTGGTGAGGTTGGCGAGCGCGTGCGGCGGCGGGCCGCAGTTGGCGAGCAGCGCGTGGTGCAGCGCGAGCACGCAGCCCGCGAACAGCGCCGTGAACTGCGCCGCGCCACTCACCAGCGGCTCCATCTCCGCCAGCCTGCACCGTACATTCCTTATCAACCCACTTTTTCTTATAGGATAGGGTTACAATCGAGCACACAGTCCACCTGATAGTAAGTGGTTGCTGCGACCCATAGATATCTACATCTATCCTTAATAAAGAATCAAAATGCAGATGCGTTGTCACCCGTGAGGACTAAGATCTCTTTTGCAGTAAAAAAAATCTCTCTCTACACTCACCATACGAAACACAGCAGTGTTAAGCTGCTATTTTACGCTGGTATTCTGTGAGAGCGTAGTCCTTCACCGGTCGAGCCGACCCATTTGTGCTACAAGTATACCACTAATAATATAGCTGCAGCATGGCTCTACCACGTAAAATTTTTTCAAACGTTAGAATAGATTGGCAATGCAAAAGAGAAAGAGTATAGTGTACGCGTATATTAGACTAAAAAAGATGGGGGAGAAGCGCTATTGGCCTACAACGGTCTGGCATCATTTGTGAACAAACAAAATCACGCTTGTATCTGCAAAATCTCGGGCTTTTAAAATGAACGTTAGTGTTTAATAGACGTAAATAATCATATGACTACGCGTGTAGTACCTAAATATAACACACCTCTGAAAGAAAAGCCTCATGGAAGTAAAGAATAGAAATGAGTTGGGGGGGTGGCTCGAACTTCAAGCCTAGTCAGTTTGAATAGCCTATCGTGTATAGGATGTCGTGGGGGTCATGATTGAATAGAGGCAAAAGATCTCATTACACTCCTAGGGGTCAAAATGGCCAAAAACCAAAAAAATTAAAAAATCTTATTTCGGCTATAACGCCGCCTCCTTCGGAAGTTCTTACACAGTCTTATTTCCCGCATCCCACTTATTATTATACATTTAACCCGTAGGTACGATTGAAATTATTAGCTGTCTAAATGTGTTATAGAGCAGGTACATACAATTTATACACAAACGGGCGGGAAAAAAGTATCACATTTTAAAATATTAATACAAAGGAATTGAACTTAAAAATAATTACAAATACGAGAAATACTGCTAATTTTAACCTCACTTTTATAGAGATTGACACTATCTGTTGTCATCTTATCGATACATCCCTAACTGGCAAAGGTATGCGTATATTCAACTTCATATATATATATATATATATATATATATATATATATATATATATATATATATATATATATAATGATTTTCATTAGATTTATGCCTAAATACTCAAACGCTACTCAATTTCAAGATTTCGTTAAGTCTCGTGCTGTCTCTTTCACTTTAAGTCAAAGTGACTGTGACAACATGAGACTTAACAGCGTTTTAAAATTGAGTAGCGTTTGAGACCATTTGGGTAACAAATGAGCACACAGTCCACCTGATGGTAAGTGGATGCTGTGGCAGATTTTCACAAAATATTGATGTTCGACAAAAGTGATTGAAAATAATAAATTTTCGTTAGAACATAATATAGGAGATATTTTTTACAGTAGCGGTTTGGGGACGGTAGTTTTATTATTTTCACCGCTTGAAACTCTCACGGGATGATATAGGGTAGTGAATTCTCATACGCCACCACTACACAGCGGATCAGTCGGATATATGTACTTCTAACAATGTGGCAACTGCTGCCAAATACCGAACGATAATCACCTTTTCATATAAAAAAATATGAAAAACCATTCAGTCAATGTTTATAATGTACTGTTTTATAGTAGCACATTACAATGCCAACCCATAGTCTATAGACCCAAGACGACCTTTAACGTTAAGTCGCGCACCTCTCTTATCGTAACCAAAAAAAATTTAAAACTGTCATTACTTGTTCAGCTGTTCTTCAGCAGCGCGTAGCATCTTAAGCCTCACGTTAGAGGACAGTGTAACGTTATCAATATGCTGCAGCACGGAGTCGAAGAAACGACGCACAGCACTGTCGTCTATTGCTGTCTCGCTCCTCTCCGACCGGGAAAACTGGGATTCTCCTATACATCAATACAACAAAATTTATATCGATACATCCAGACATGTTTATCGATGTTACAAAAAAATGTGTGGGTTTTTGGAGTCTGGTCATAGTGTGTTTGTTTATTCTTGTCTCTTACTACCCTCACCTTGCATAAGCATTATTACGACTTAATACATATCTGCTTGCACGTACACTTGTGGGTTTTTTGATATCTTCTGCGTAACTGATTGAATTCGACACCATTTTTGATTAATCAAAAACTTTTGGTTTTATAATATTGTTGCAACAGCTTCATATGTGATATAAATAATTGGTCTGGGTGCAATTCGTTCTAAGATCACTACTCTCGTTTATTTGCTTATTATATGTATTTTTTTTAAAAAGCTACAGAAGTGTCAGAGATAGTAAGTATAAAATAAAAGAGACAACTAGATGAGAGTAGAAATCGAAACTACGCGAGTGTGGGAGAGGGGATGGGGATTTTGATAAAGTTATTAAATTCGCATCTTGTTAATTTCGATCCTGTTCTTGTGAATCTGACTTGTGATCATGATCAGCAGGTTAATCTTTTTTGATATTATCATGACATCCATCACGTTACACTGTACTTTATATAGCTCGAAAGAGCGGACGGTTTAGAGTTCTCTTCTCTAAACCGTCCTCTTTCTTTCTCCTCACTTCTTTTTATCTCTTTATTTTTCTACATTCATAAGAAACCATTTCTTACTTTTAAGATTTAAGAGATAAAAAGATATACTAATATGCGCACATGAACATGCAGTATTCCTTTTAAAAACAATAAGATTGGACACTATAGACATTAAAACATAGTGATATGTAAAATTTGGTCTAATAAATATACAATTCCTAACAACAACTTTCTAATGGGAAGTATATAAAAAGGATATAAATATTAAAAAGTAACAAAGTATGAATTATTTAATAAATTCTTCGGGAACATTTTTCAAGCACAGTTGTGTCGCAAGTTCGTAGACACTATATCTACATTGCAAATGGCATAAACAATACAAAATAACTCACCAATAGGTAAATGCGGAACTAAGTGCGGCATAGTGTCACGTAGGTATGTGTAGTGCTTGATTGTGTGCTCCTCAAACAGTGGCAGCATTGTGGTGCAATGCTGCGCCGCGTTCAATACCAGGATCAGTATGCACATATCTATGTTTCAGTTAGGAATATTTTATTTAACAGAAAGATTTCGTGGTTTCCAAAAGGTATATGCATAATCATCTTATATACTCGGTGGTACTTGATAAAACGTATTCATGTTCAAAAATATACCAGTCAGATGTAGAATACTTAGACCAGTGACAGAAATCTTATCAAAATCCGAAATAGCTAGTAATTAGGCTCTATACGAAGGTGGCACTGAAAGTTCTTAAAAAATCAAAAACTGAACAAACTAGCAAGTTATTAGTTTTATTATATGTTTTTTTAAAGTGTCCCATTTACGTCAATACATCGGTGCATCCGATGGAACCACTGAAAAAAGCACTTTGCCCACTCGTCCTTCGATGGCATTTTGAAACGGACTGCGTTTCAAAATGCCTGCTCTTTCGGCGTACATAAAACGTTTTCCTCGAAGTTTTTCTTTTATTTTCGGAAATAAATAAAAATCGCAAGGTGCGAGGTCGGGGCTATAGGGCGAATGACCCAGTAATTCCACGTCTGACGTTGCAAGTAGTCGATTGTTTGCTTGCCGGTGTGCATCGAGGCGTTGTCGTGGTGAAGGAGGATCCTACTGCGAGGTCGTTTCTCCCGAACTTTTTCCAGGACAAGTGGCAAACAATTGTTAGTGTACCACTCTGCAGTAACTGTTTTTCGATCCTCTAAAACAATTGTTGCGTAATGACCTGTCCTTCCGAAGAACGAGGCCACCATCTTTTTTCCCACGCTTCGACCTCTCTTCATTTTAATTAGCAACTCCTCGGAAGAAAACACCCAGACAGCAGACTGTCTCTTAGTTTCAGGATCATAACAATAAATCCAGCTTTCGTCACTCGTACAAAGCTTCCTGACCGCTAAATGTTCATGGAGGATTTTGTGCACTTGACTCACACCGATGCCTAAGCTTGTCCGAATCTGCTGTTAAGTCACTCTTTTGTCAGTCTCTATCATACGCCGCACAACACAATCGTCGCCGTCCCTCACGGAGATCATCGGTGAGATTAGTGTGACCACGTTTAAACTCAATAAACCATTTGTAAACAGTGGCACGAGATGGGGCTTCATCGTGAAAGGCTAATTGAAGTCTATCATAACTTTTGTAGTCTTAAATGACATTGAAAGTCATAAAAAGTCATTGTACGAAAATTTTCTCGCGTTGAATTCATGCTGACATGACACAGACAATTTTCAATTTGCCACCAAATCGTAAACAAATGCCAAATTAATAACACAATAATATTGGCAGAGAGTTCCATTTTCAAAATTTGAACTTATTTTTTTATTATATCATTTAAAAGCTATCAGTTCTAAAAACTTTCAGTGACGCCCTCGTATCACTATAATATAATAGAATAGAACAAGTTTTTATTCTATATACATTACATGTGTAATTCTTATTGAAAGTCATTTTTTACTTTACCACTCGTTCGAAAAAAAAACCCTCTGTGCTGGGATGAACCAGCAAGAAACGCAGCGGGACTTTTTTTTAAAATAAATTTTACAATATAAATGATTACGAACTATTTACAAAAATTTATTTTAGAAACTGCTTGGAAGCGACCACCTCATTCCCAGGGGTTATTATCAACCATGTATTCATTTATACTATAATAACCCTTTTTATACAGTTTCAGTTTAAGAAAACATTTAAACTTGGTAACTGAGAGAACCTGTACACTTTCCGGGACCTTGTTGTAATAGCGTATACATTGCCCCAAGAATGAATTACTGACTCTGTGGAGTCGAGAAACTGGCATCACTAGCTTGTGTTTGTTCCTAGTGTTTATAGAATGTATATCACTTTTTTTACTAAAACTATCTTTGTCTTTGTGAACATACATTAAATTTTCGTAAATATACTGAGAGGCCAAAGTTAATATATTTATTTCTTTAAATTTATCTCTAAGAGACTCTCTAGGTTTTAGATTGTAAATAGCTCTAATGTCTCTCTTCTGTAAAACAAAAATAGTTTCTGAATCAGCCGCATTTCCCCATAGCAAAATCCCATAAGACATTATGCTAAGGAAATAACTAAAATAAACTAATCTAGCTGTCTCGACACTAGTGAGACCTCTAATCTTTTTTACAGCATAGGCTGCAGAACTTGTCAAACAGAAGTCTGCTTGCTAATTTGGATATATGGGGGCCCCACTGAAGCTTTGCGTGATGCCAAGAAAAACAGTGGACACAACAGGGCTCAATTCCTCGCCATTTAAAAACACATTGGTATTCAGATTTTTAACATTCGTTTTTATAAATTTAACACAATTTGTTTCATTTCCGTTCAAATGCAGATTATTAACGTGCACTAATTTTGATATGGCATTATTCACTTCGTCACATTTAAATGATTGACGTTTAAGTTTAAAAATCAAGGAAGTATCATCAGCAAATAATACTATATCATGACTACTACCCCTACAAGGTGAGGTAAGTCATTAATATACACCAGAAACAGGAATGGGCCGAGAATCGAGCCCTGAGGAACACCCATTAGTACAGGTGACCCGGAAGAACTTTTACCATTGATAATAACCTTCTGCTTTCTATTACTTAAATATGAAATAATAAATTTAAGCGCTGTGTTCTTGACACCATAGTACTGTAGCTTCCTGATTAATGTCTCATGGTGAACACAGTCGAAGGCCTTGGAAAGGTCACAAAATATACCCAAAGCATCCTCTGAATTCTCCCATGCACAAAAAATATGTTTAATAAGCTCAACTCCAGCGTCAGTTGTCGAGCGACCCCTTGTAAAACCGAATTGATTTTTATGTAGCAATTTATTAATATTAAAGAAACTTAACATCTGATCTAAAATAATCTTTTCAAAATTTTTACCTAATGTTGGTAGTACAGAAATTGGTCTAAAATTGGCGGGGTCTAATGTACTACCAGATTTAAATATGGGTATGACTTTACTATGTTTCATTAAATCAGGAAACACACCAGATTCGACGCTTATATTAGATATAGTGGCTAGATAAATATATATAAAATAATGTATTAATTGTTTGTTTCTTTATTCTATTTTGACCAATTTACCAAAAGTTTTGAAATAAACACACGGTATAGGGATATTTTAACTACACATGAATTCCAAAGAGTATGGCAATATTTTCTTAAGACATCTGTACGGTCCAAATACCATATATTTATCATGCTGACGCGGTTCAAACCGCCGCGCCGCGAATTACTTATAATGCACAATTTTCTAATTAAACTCAGTATGTGTAATAAGCCGCTAAAGTAACAACACGTGTGCTTACTATATACGCCACTCAGTTTGCGACTCATACATCGTATAGTATTATATACTCTGCACGAGTCGCAAACTGTGGCCCGTACATTATTTTTGGTCCTTCGAGCCGGATTTTTTCCGTCTTCAGGAAGAGAAGAGTGTAAGTGTCTACGGGCCCTCAGGAAACCCTTTTTATCTAAAAAGGGTGTTAAGTTTAAAATTTTGATGTTAGAAGCGACGCTTCCTTTCTTCTTAATATTCTCGATATCATTATAAAAGTATTCTTGTTGAATGCACTTAATGCATCACCGATTTCAATCAACGTCAAGTTAGGTACAACTGGCTCTTTCTTGGTATGTAGTATAATTTGGAACGTAACACCAAAGCCAGGCTTCTGATCACATGATCACTGCACTGCTCGATAAGATGTTTAATTAATTGTTCGGCGTCATTGATTTGGATTTTTGTAGCGAGACATTCTAATAATTGATCGTTTTCAGTCGTAAGAGTTTCTTGAGCTACATCACATTTGTGCCAGGTCTTTAGCCATTGTAGGCCCTGCCACCATGTATTAAAAGTTAAGAGTTGTGATGGTAGAAGGTCACCTGACGCACAGCCCGCCGGATTATTCTTGCTTTTGACACAGTACCACTGTGTAGACGAAACAATGTTGTTTAGCTGCGTAGCACAGTTACTTGTGTAGATTTCTCGTGTACCCTTCGTAACCTTCGCAGCCAAGCGAGCATAATTTGCGAGTCAATCCAGTAGGTGATATTATGTAGCACATTGTCGGAAAGCGCAACTTTTATATTTTTTCTATTCATTTTGACAGTAATAGTGCGTTACACATAATTTCAGCCGTGGGAGGGTGGTTTTTGTTTTAATTGGGGCCACTTTAGTTTCAGCAACAAGTAATGTATGACTCATTTTTAATGAGCGTACGACTGCACATGACGGCCGTGTATGTCGTCTCGCTAGAGTCGCAGAAGCCATGTAACTCGATCGCTTGTAAATCATTCACATTTATTCACATTCATGGTGGAACAGATATTTGTCTTAAAATCGTACAATAAAATGTCATTATTATCACAATCAACCCAAGTTGAATCAAAAAGATGTTTAAATAACGGTTTTAAACCAAAAAATGAACAATTACTTTGAGTGCAAATTTTGCTCCTTCTAGTTCAACTTAATTTTTACCGCCAACACATTTTATTTTAACTTTTGTTCAAATTTGAAATCAATCTGGAATAAATGAGAAACAATTTGATATTAAAAACATTTAAAAGTGCTGGTCACTTTAAAATGTTTTTTAGTTGGTCAATGTTATTAAAAATATCCCTATACTGTATTGATGTGTTTAGATGAAGTAAAAATAATTTAATAATTAAACCAAATGTTTTATAAAAAGGATACATGCAGGGTCCTCTACATCAGGTTCTGGCATATCAAAGAAGGGATGTACGGCAAGCAAGCGAGTTGTAAGAGGCAGTACTAGGGAAGCGTGAGAGCTACCCATCCGTTGCACACATCGGAATGTAGACCTTTTGTCCTGCAGACAACAATTCATTTTTAGAAATATACAAACACGACCGCGAGCGATAAAATATTAGATTTTATAATTATTATATAGTGACTTAAAAAAATCAATCATCCCGCTTCGTATCTTGGTGTCGTAAGAGGCAACTATGTGCAAGGTTAGAACGATCTCAACGTCTCCGATAAATGGCGATATTACTACCTCGTATATATCAGATGTAAAGCGAGGGTCAGACGAAGCCAGTAACGCTGGCGCCAGTCCTCAGACAAGCCTACGCTGGCCTGGCCCGTGTTGTTCAGATGAGGCCAAATGGATTCATTTCATTCCTGGTTTATTCTTATGGTGTGCACAAGTTATGTGTTTTAAAAAAAATGAATTTAGATCAAATGCGGGGGCGATTGAAAAAGAAATTTATAAAGAACATCTCTGCACTATCAAGAGAAGAGTTGATCAATATATTAGAGGAAGAAATCGTAAAGAATAAAAGACTTTGGATGAAAAAATGGTTAAGCGATAGATCCGTAACTAGAGCTTCTGTTTCCTTTTTGAGCATTCAATTTCCTTGCCACCGCGGAAAATCTTACAAAAACAAAACGCGTTAACAATCTACGGATAAACGCCAGCGATTGGCGCGATGCGTCTACACGCGTCCTCATGCTATCACGGGGGTTGCGGGGTACGCGGGCGGAGGTCACTGACTTGAAAAATAGGCCGGTGCTCTATTCCCGCCATTGCTAGCAGCCAGCACTGGCTTGTCTTGAAAAACTGTTTATACGAGGCCAATAACAAGCCAGCGCTGGCTACCAGTCAAACTGGCAGCCAACACTGGCTTCGTCTAAACCTTGCTTAAAATATCTAGACCAGCACCAGGCAGTGATAAATACTTCCTACTATAGAAGAGATCTATATCCAGCGGTAGACTGTTAGCGGCTGATAAAGATGAATAGAAGAGTTCAGGTAATGACATAACCATCCATCCATTATAGCTATTAAAGTCCACTACTCGTGGTTAGGTAATGGTACAACATGTAATGATATAATATGATGACCTTATACACTTGTAATGATTAGTATAAAATGATGTTTGTTTTTCGAAAATATAAAAAAAACGAATAACCTGGGGATATCTTTTAAGGTTTTCCAATATTTTGTCTATACACATTTCAAGACACGTTTTTGAAGCTACAGTACATGAACCCAGCATCCTGTGAAGGCCTTCTCTTACATCCATTGAAAAGTCCTGAAAAAAATAAGCAATAATTGTGTGAATATTACGCAAATTACACTATTTACTTTCACTTTATTTATTAACGAGTTAATTTACAGCTTGATAAAAATCAAATAAGTGCCTTTTCCTTTGTATTATATAGATTTTTTTTTTATAGAATAAGGGTGACAAACGAGCACACAGTCCACTTTATGGCATGTGGATGCCATGGCCCATTAGAATTTACATCTACCCTTGATTAAGAATCCAAATGTAGATCAAATATCACGTCTTTTGTCATATTTACAGAATTTTCTTTAGCGACTATGTAGGAATGGAATGTAAGGGAATGGAGTGAAAACGGAACGTAAGTGGGTGAGAAGGAGGACTAGAGGTGCGAGAAGGACGGGGAGAAGGTTGGAGGGGGTTTTTTGAAAGGAGGAAGGGAGCGTACGTAACTTAAGGGGATTAATTGATTAAAAAGGTGTTAAACGGTGAAAATAAAACCAACTATTCATTATTCTCGATTTTTATTAAGAGGCCTTCCAAAATCTCACATAATTTTGGTGTCAGAAGTGGGATTGCCTCAAAATATATAATTTAAATAGAATATAATATAATTTAAATAGAATATACAAGAAATGTATTATGGTTATTTAAGGTTCAAGTAAAAATGATTTATCTTATGTTATAAACAACAAAAAATAAAGGCAATAGATATTAAGGAAACATATTTAGATCATCGCTTTCAGTGACGGATTTAAATAATGTATTTCTAAATAAAACTTATTAATACCTCTAGAGCTCCTAAAATGATCTCCAACTGATCCTCTCTCAGTATTATGTGGTGTGAGATTTTCGTAAGGCTGTCGATGGCCCGCAATCGTACATCCTCTATTTCGTCATTGAACATGTCCACGAGAAAGTCGAGCGATGTGATCGCGAATATCGGGTTCTCCATTGAAAGCTGGCACACTGCGTCTACTGCCGCCGTACGCACCTCTGTAATATCGATTTAATATTACGTAATATGATAGAGTTAATGGCCTGACACCTCCACGTGCACCTTATTAATAGGCAAGAAATGATCTTATGACTGACAAATTTTGGAAAATCGATCACATGTATCACTGTGTTCAAATTTAGAAATTACCAACATACAATGATTAGATGGCTCCGTGGCGCAATGTCTTAGCAATGAGTTGATGCGCTGGAGCCCGCGGGTTCTAATCCCGCACGGAACAAGTATTTGTATGGCTTACAAATAATTGTTCCGGGTCTGGATGTTTGTTTTCGTGCAATGTATGTTTGTAAATTGTCTCCACGATACAGGAGAAAATCCTAGTGGGGTAACGTTTTTTTTAATAACTTTAAAAAAATGACACTCGTAATTTTCACATTTTAACAACATCACATTTGTTCGGCCGTGTTGTACGTGTCATAGTTTTAGACACACGATCGTATGGAAAATACCTTGTTTCAGTACCTATATCTCTATAATATATAAAAATCAACTGCTGTCCGTTAGTCTCACAAAAACTCAAAAATAGCTGGACCGATTTGGATGAAATTCTTTAGTGTGTGTTTGAGTGGGTCTCAAAATTTGACCCTGTAGGTGGCGCTGTTGTCGAGATCCAAAAATCACCTGTGCGAAGCCGGGGCGGATCGCTAGTTATAAATAATTATCCCGTAAATCTTTTCGGTTCTTGCCTTTACCTTGCGTTAATAGTGTAAAGTAAGAATTGGGCGAGTATGTGTAATCTTTCGAAGTCACGACATGTTGTGATGACAACCCTAAAAGTCACATTTTTGTCATACAGAACTAAAAGTAATAGATGAGCACATAGATCATATGACGGTAAATGAATGATGTGGCCCATAGACACCTACATATATCTTCGTGAACGGCATGGTTACATAAACGAGAATGGTTACAGAAACGTCGTATAAAAAAGACATGAAAAAGAAAAATTCTCAAGTGCCAGCCTTGTAAGCAAACAGTAGGGCAGTCCTCAATAAGATAAAGCAACCACTTGCAAAACATGCAGAAAGGTTGCTCAGAAGGCCTACGATCAGCAGTGAACTTATCAAAGAGCTGTAATGATGATGATTAAAAATAAATAACTATGACTACAACATCAATATATGTATGTATATAACATATAGTGGTGGAATCCTCTACATGGCCACTACACGGCGGAAGAAGAATCACTAGAAATCATCCATTACCTTATATTCCGTAGTATCTAAGAGGCGAAATAAATTCATAGCAACTTAACATAATAAAAAAAAATCAATTTTCAACCCTCTTGCCAAGCATGACAACTATGGCAAATAGAAAATACCACCGCTGAACACAATTCATCAGTGGTGTTTTGATAGGCTGTATAGATATTGCGCTATGTAGATATGGAACTATGTGAAAAAAAATTATAGGCTGTAATAGACCGAACTATGATAAAAGAAAAAAAAAGAGTAGTGACCCATGAGCTCGTCCTCCAAGCCGTGCACGAAGGCGCCGGCGGCGCCGCCGGGCAGCAGCTGCACGCTGTGCTGCTCCACCAGCTGGCCGGGCGCGTCGTCCGCCCAGCGCCGCCCGCTCGCCCACGCGCCCGACCGCACCAGCTCCGCGCCGCGCTCGTGCGCCGTGCGCTTCTTCTGCAATCACACGCCCAACACACTCAACCACATCACTCATTGCAAGAACATTTTTTATAGAAAACGGTGACAAACGAGCACACAGTCCACCTGATGGTAAGGGGATGCTGTCGCCTATAAACATTTACATTTATCCTTAATTAGCTGCAGCGTGGCTCTACCACGCATAAAGTTTTTACGTAATAGTGCCATGCTGCAGTTATATTATGGTTGTATCCAAAGAGTTCTATGTATACTACTAGACCGGCAATAGAGAAGTTGCATTAATTGTTTTGCCACAAATTTATATATAAATGAAAGAATAATTCATTTAAAGTATTTTTTTTTGTTTTTGTTGTTTTTTAACAATTCCATTTTTTAGTAATTATTAATAAAAAATAGTTAAATTTTTAAATGCAAAAAAACAACGCAATGACAATATTTTTTTTATTTTGACAACGAAAATATGAGTGTACACCATGCAGTAGTGTTACTAAAGCGATATAAGGACGTCACTGGCGTTTGAATTTACATTAAAAAAAAAACCATTTATAATTGTAAAATTAAAAAGGGTTTTTCTAAAATGAAAAATCAGTTGTTAATTTTTTTTTCTTAATAATTTTTAGGAAATAATTTTTAAGATTACAAATATGCTTATTATTAAAAGTTATTTAAATTATACCACTGGTTCGGAAAAAACCTTTGTCTTGGGTAGAACCAGCAAGAAACCCAGCGGAATTTTTTTGGACCGAAGTTCCTTATCGCACGGTACGAATTTGACGGATGGGGGCCAGGTGAGAAAAAGTGTAAGATTTTTCCGTCACGATTTAGTGCGAACGAGATGGAATAATATCCATCTCCCTCGCACTTTTTCTTATCTTGCCATGAAAGAGATATTATTTTAAATGATGCTTCATTTTAATAGACGCTAGTAATTCATTTATTTGTTTTTGTTAATCAATAATATAATACGTTTATCAATAATAATATAAGAGTACTGCGAAAGGAACTTCGTTCCAACCGAGTGTTCCACGACACACACAGGGTTATTTTTCAAAAAATAAATAATTAATACCAATATTACATTTTAAGAAAAAATAAGGTAAGAGTAGAGAGTACGAGTAAATAAGGCTACTACTTTTATTTGAAATTATCCCAAATTGAATATGATTTATGGGCAACAACTACTCTTACGCGGGTTCCTGTGTGTGTGATTCAATTCACGTTTTTGTTTTTCAAGTTTTTGCATACTGTTTACTTTCTTAGTGACATGGTCATTACTTATGCTTAAGATAATAACTACATGACGCGAATTATGATTACAATTTTCCTTTTACAATTTTATCTGGCTTAGGATCGTCATAATAAACACAATTAAAAAAATATTTTTGCGTATCAACGACGTAACCGACGACTGTCCTCATTTATACCGTATTTAAAAAAAATGAAATAAACTATTTACAACTAAATTACGCAAGTACCAATATTAGATGTTAGGACTACTTCCTAACATCTAATATTGGTACCTCAAAATAGAATCCGTTTCTGAATGTGAATAAGGAACACATCACATATTAGAAAACCGTTTATTCACAACGTAAATTCAAAGTAGCGGATCGGTGTGCGACGAGCAGGCTGACGGCGTCGGACGATAGTGTCGACTATCGACTGCAAGGCGAGAAAAATCGAACTGGTTGCATCCGCGCAGCCGGGAGTTTCCGAAGATTGCTGAACGGTCAAATAGGCCGGGCCATACATTTTTTATGTAATAATTTCATAAATATTACAATAATTAAATATCACAAATAATTTCACTGTAGCGGTCTCCATACCTTTTTTACCGACTTTTTATACACAGATAAAAGACTAACGGTAAAAGATTTTTTTATCTCAGTATAAAAAGTTTTGTGTTAGCAAATTCACTATTTAAGTTATCGCTCACTGCACTTAAATAGTTTGATTCGATTGGTGGGTTAATTACGACACGTACGCTAATTTCTCACCGTAGTAAAGACTCCGTTTAGTATATTTGTACGTACCATGTAAACTTTTATGGCTTAACACTTTCACTGCCCGGTTTTCAGACACAATAGTGTCAAAAATGTAATATTCACATGAAATATCACTATTTCACAGTCTCATAGTATCAGCGGTTCGAATATTTTCGTTACGTCATTGGTAACGAAGCGTACGTAATGAGGTCACGTTCAACAATGTCAGCTGTCGGCCGGGCGAGCAGACATAGGTACCTACTTAAGGTGTAATGGTAGAATTTGTAAACAATTTATAAAGTGGTATGATAAAGTGCAATTTACCATCTAGGGCATTATCACCACTTACCACCAGGTGGGATTGTAGTTAAACACTGGCTTAGAATAAGTAAAAAAAAAAAACTAGGAAAATTCTAAATTACTAAAATTGTACAGTTTAACCCGCAAATTTAATGATAATACATGATAATACAACCCTTCTTTTATTGTTCTTGAAAAAAAAAAGGCACCAGGGAAAATGTTCATAAGCATTTAATTCTATTTCAATCAGCAAAAAAGACTAAAAAAGAAAAACAGTTTATGAAAATTACCTTCATATTACTCATGAGCTGTTTATCGAGCGTCTGCAGTAAAAAGCGATCGGATACTGCACAGGTGCTTCCAAGCAACGAACATGCTAAAGCCCGCACTTGCATACATAGATCGTTCACCGCCGAACAAATGCGTATGAATGCATCATCAACCATGCGGATAGTTGTTTCACCATCAGGCAATGTTATTGAACTGAAATTATTTTATATAAAGATTCAATAATTTATTAGTAATTGTTTCTTCGTAAACTGAGCGATAAAGATACTGATATGTTAATGCGAGGTTTTTATTTATTTTACAGAACCCAATCAATCACTATCGGTATCACTTCAGCCAAACAAAACCACTCCTGAACATGGGCCTGCCCCATAATTGTTTTTTTTTTTATATCACTAATGTTTTCTTTGACATTTTTATTCAAATGCTTCTAGACAATTTAACGCGAGCACTGGCTCATTGATGACATGCACATGACTAAAGAATCATTGACTATTCATAATGCCATGGCGGTATTGACAATGCCCATGAAAGGCAATGTGAAAAAAACTATTGAAATAATTAAATTGACCGGGCTTTGTGATGAATAAAATTTCGTTACTTATTGGATGCACATTGATGGACTGTGGAGGTTTGTCCTCTCCCCGTTCCCGTCGCAGCCGAGGTGGAGTCGCGGAAAATGAGGAGTGTTGGTATGACGATGCGCCACTCACTCTAACCTCTGTGACTCTGGTATGGCCTCACCGTTGATGTGGTGATGGGCCGCGGGGGAGAGGAGTGACAGTATTGCGAGGCGCCGCTCTCTCTCTCTCTACCTTCCGCAGCTGAATCTTGGTTGACGGCGGAGCCATAGAGACCAGAGCCGCTGCTGGGTCAGGAAAGCTCAGCAGAAGTGCTCGACTTTACTGGCCCCATGGCTTCTACTGCACAGGTGGATTTAGAGGCCGCGTAGCAAGGCGCGCCTTGTGTTTTTGCTGCACCGTATATAAGAACGAGAAGGAGGTGGAGTTGTCCTCTCCCGTGGGTGGGCGCTGCCATGGTGGCCGCCGCGGTTGTAGGCGCGAATGTGTGCGAAAGCGCTCCCGTGCCCTGCCAATATGCGACGAAATACTATGGAGTTTTAGCTCGATATAACTCCTCCTTGCCCCTGCGAGGCAGGTGTTTCATGCGTAGGCATTTCCCCATATAAAAAGAGTTATTTCATAATGACCAGACCATGTGGTAAATAATAAAATTTAAATTAGTATTAATTACAGAGCCCTATTTGACTAGTCATTATTCATTATAAATAGTACCTTGATTAATCACTTGGACAGAATATATGTAATATGGTGTATAATATACATATACATTCAATACTTACTTCTCTGGATACTTGTTTCCCAGCAGCCAAACCAGCTTAAGAGCGACTTCCCTCACAATTTCATAATCATCTGATAAAGATTCACATACATGCTCATACAAAGATGCATTCAATGTCTGACCTCTCTCGTGTAATGTTAATAGTGATTGAAACGCTTCACATCTTACTCTTGCATCCTAAGTACAAAATGAACAAAAATAAAAATTATCAATAAATTAAATATTGTAATGAGTGAATTGTAGAACAAGCATCGAATAGCTAGCCAAGGTACCTCAGGTGCATAAACATTGTAGATAAATTAATATACCAACACCAAATAAATTGTTTACTACAATTTTAAATGCTGATTTAGCTCATGTACTTGTTATTAGTACATGTTAATAGTACTAGTTTCTTGTATTTTTAAAAAAATGTTGGGTAAATTATTCATCAACCTTTGCAGAATATCAACTCTTACACCACCCATGTTAAGAGATAAGGAGATGGATTATTAAGCTAACTGTAGCAATGCAGCAAGGAAACGCAGAAAAGGTTTTTGGCACTCTATACTGCAGAGAGTAGGACTGTATAATTTAACTTTTTAGGTATTTTTTAATACGGTAATAAATATTATATTTGAATGTTATGCAAATAAATTACAATTTTGCAAGTATACTGAGAGGTGAGGGTTAAAGTGGGCAGTGCTTATGGAAGACTATAATATAGTTTTGGTTACAAAGATAGATGGGTCTTAACATAATAAAAACAGTACATCTTATCCGTTAATGATGCAAAGACGTAAAACTGTTCTTTATCAAACTCCAAGAAGTTTTGCATAGCTTACTTAAAAGTAAACCCAAACATAAAATAGTTCTGACTGGCGATTGGAATATAGACATATTAAAACCAACTCGACAAGAAAAAACAAAACTCTTAAATAATATTCTCAAAAACTAACATAAAAATGCACATAAATACTGCAACTCGTGGAAAGGCATGTCTTGACCAGACAGTAACGTGTATAGGGCCAAATCAGGCACACATCTTGTTTGCCTATCTGACCATGAAACAGCCTAACCTATATCCTTTAAAAAGAAGTTGAATAAAAAGGAGTATACTCTAGTATACTCCTTTTTATTTTTATTGTATACAGACAATTGACTACAGTAAAGATAACTTGATCAAGTTTAGTAACCATATATTTTTCTGTCTGCCTTATATTTTTCAGAAGTATATAACAATAAAAATGCTAATGAAGCTTTCAACAAATTGCATAACATGATTGATCTATTTAATAAACTCTGTTTTCCAATAAAGCTTGTTAAGATCTGTAATAAATTCAAATACCAGAAATGGCTTAGTAAAGGCATTAGACTTGCGTGCAAAAATAAGCGGCGTCTGTATATCCAATATACAAGAAGCAATAAAATTTCTAGATTATCTAAAAATATGCATACAAAAAATACAATAAAATACTCAAAAAGTGCAATTTTTGAGCCCTATGCTCAAAAATTATAAAACCAAGGAGTTATGAATAATGCTTCTAATAAATGTAAAGCGACATGGAATATAGAGCGACATATAATTTAAATAATGATAAAGAATATAATGATATTGACATGATAAATATAAATGACATAAAATATAGTAATCCTAATGTAATGATAAATATGTGAATTGTTTAGTAACTATTTTATAGACATAATAAACCTGGAACAGGACAATTTAAATTCTGATAAAATTAACATTCCATTCAATAAAAATTCAATATTTCTAACCGCAACCAATGAAAATGAAATAGCTTCTACTATTTTATTGCTTAAAAATAGCCATGCAGTTGGACATGATGGCATAAACACACGTGTTTTAGTACACGTGCATGTGCGAGTGATTTAAGCCGACCTCTTGCCCATGTAATTAATTTATCAATGGAACAGGGATCATTCCCCTATATCCTTAAGTTATGTATTTTCAAGCCAATATATAGGAAGGGCGATAAGTGTGATATGAATTACTATAGACCGATAACTCGTATTCCAATACTATTTAAAATCTATGCAAAAGTCATGTTCATTTATTACCCCAAATAATATACTGACAGAAGAACAGTACGGTTTTTGCAAAGGTCACTCTACTATGTTGGCCTGCTACAATCTGGTACATTATGTCACAGATTGTATTAATCAAAAGATACCACTTATTGCTTTATTTCTAGACATGACCAAAGCTTTTGACTTTGTTCCATATAAAAGATTACTGGATAAACCATATAGATATGGTATTAGAGGTAATGCTTACGATTGGTTGGAAAGTTATCTGTATAATAGACAGCAATGTATTGAGATAGCAACAGTCGTTGAATCAAGACAGTTTCCTTTTCGGTCAAAATATCGCGTCAATCCATGGGGAGTTCCACAGGGCAGTATCTTGGGACCCCTATTGTTTTTGATATTTATTAACAACTTACCAAATGCAACTCAACATAAATGTTTCATGTCCGCAGACAGAGAAAAATCCATTGTCATTATTAATGAGACTTTACACAACCTAATCAATTGGCTACATTCAAACAATCTCAAAATAAATATACTATAAAAACAAAGGGCATCCACTTAACTACTTACAGAGCAAGGTCAATGGATGTGCTAGTCGATTATTGCGGTAATACTGTTGAAATTGTTAATGAAGCTAAATTTCTTGGATTTACTTTAGATAAACACTGTGACTGGAAAGCACATATAGACAATCTATGTACGAGAATAAATAAATTTGTATGCGCGCTACGACGACTCAGTAATCCTCGATCATCATCCATATCCATATCATATCCATTGAAACTGCTCTACCGGCCTACCATGGCTATGTGTCATCACTATAAAGTTACGGCACTATATTATAGGGAGGTTCAGTGGATGTAAACCGGGCGGCTTTCATAGCCCAAAAGAAATGTAGTAGGGCTATTTGCAGAGTACATTTTCTTAAAAGTTGTAAACCCCTTTTCAAGAAACTTGGAATCCTACCGCTACCGTGCCTGTATATAAAACAAATGTGTATTTTTGTTACGACAACACTTTCATTATTTTGTCACTAGAGAGCAATACAAAAATAAACCGATAACACACCGAGAAAGGATCATGCGACCTAGAAAAGACTTCAACTATACAGACGAAGCTGTTATTGTACCACTATCAAAATTTATAATAAGTTTGATACAAGTTTAAAAGCTCTGCCATTACCATTGTTTAAAAGAAAGTTACATTCCTGGCTTTTGACTAGGTGCTTTTATTCAGTTCAGGATTACTTACATGACCAAGAGATTTTTGAATGTTAATTGTGTTTGTAGCTTTTCTGTGTTTACTTTATTTATGACTTGAATAATTTGATATAAAATATTATACAATTTATAAATGATGACATGTTATGTTCTGTCTGTGACTCTTGTTTACCATTAGTCATCTGTTTAGTCTATTGACTCATTTTAGTTCTAAGTAGATTAAAATGTAACTACTTTTGAATTTGCATGACAATTATAAGTCAAACATGAGGACACACCACTATGTTAACATCTTTGTACTATCATGTTTGATTTTTGATTTGCAAATGTTTCTGATTTCTGAAAGCTTACCTCAGCATTTGAATAATCTCCTAATAATTTTACAATTGCATCTGCTTCCACTGTCATGTCTTGTGTTCTATCTGATTCTGGGTAAATTGGATATAGTTCACTAATAAGCTGTAGAGACCGGCATTTCACAGAATGGCTTGTATCTTTAAGATTGTCTTTTGCCACATTCACAAGGCGCATCATAAGAATCTTGTCATCGCTTAACTTAGAACCCAACTTTAGTAATGTTGCGATGCCTTGTGCTATAACCTGAAACATTTAAATAAATAATCATTAATAAAAAATTCTTTCCCTTTTACTATAATTTATCATCTCATCTAATCTAATAAACTTAATATTTAGGTGACTGTCGGTAATTATTGCAAATTGCAAGTTTCTATAGCTGTTGTATTAAATGGTTTAATCAGTTTAAAATGTTTGGACATGTTGCATGTAAGTCTTCTCTTTATATAAAATAATCATTACTTATTAGATTACCTTGTGTGATGTTTCATTTTTAATTAAATGTATTGTCTCTTCTATTAAATTGTTCAGGTTAGCACCTGGACATTCCAATCCAATGTCACAATACAACCACAAAATTTTAACTCTAACAACAGACTCCTCCTCTGATCGGAAATGCTCTGAGAGCTTTTTGATGGCCTCCTCTACATCTGATTCTTGGAATTGTAAGCAATCTGATATCCTCAGTAGTAACTGAAGAGCCTCCTCACTTGATTTGCATTTCTCTAAAAGTCCTACAAAAGCAGCTGCAGAGCTACCTATCAATGGTTTCTTAGCCAAATGCAGTTTTTTTGATGATGGTCCATCCTGTAAATAATAGTATATATCAATACTAAGAGTATTTATAAATATCTAATTATAATGTTTTATGGCCATTTAATAGCATAGAAAAGACTAATTAAATAAAGACCAGTTATTATTTCTTAAAGTATCTTTAACTCAGCTTATAGTCACACTGCAAACAGGACACAAGCTGATATTGGTTGGCTGATTCATGGGGCAAGTATACGCTATAACAATAAAGTCTCGCAAAATATATAAGGTCTCTCTATTACCAAGTTTAAATATTTTATTAAACAAAAACCAATAACCTCTAGGAATTAGGTGGTCACTTCTAAGCCATTTCTTAAATAAATTTTGTAAATAGTTTGTACAACCTTTCATAATGTATAATTTACTTTAAACAAGTGGTAAAATTAAAAATCTTTTACATCTGACTTCAATATAAATAAAATGAGAACTTCATCAATAAAGTCGAAGAAAGTATATGCATTATTAAGGATAACTCAAAAACTACAAATAAAAAAAAGAATCATCAAAACCGGTCAACTAGAAAAAAGTTCTGAGGTAACACAATTAAATTACAGTCAAATTGAGAACTTCTACCTTTTTTTGAAGTCGGTTGAAAGAGAAGCTCCACTAGGTTTTCCCAGGACAGAGGTTTTTTTTTTCAAACCAGTGGTAAAAGTAAAAAATTACTCTAACATTTACATGTAATATTGAATAAATTATTATTCTATTCTATTGTACAATGGCATGTTCAATAAAATTACAACTTACAAAACTTATGCCTTTATATCTAAGAGATGAATATTTATAAATTCTATATTTAGCACTCTGGCTTATAAATTTAAACGTATTACTAACAAATATTAAAAACTATTTGTAAATCCAACTGTGCATGCGTTAAGCGCATTAAAAAATTACATATAACATTATACCTAAATTTGTTAAAGTAGTTTAAATACACATAAGTTTTCACTAATAACCTTATTACTATACTTTCAATTTTCCGATAATTTTATGTCAAATTTCAATTAGAAAAAGTTTGGAAAATACAAAAATGCCCGATTCACTATGATTTCATGCTCAAATCATAGTGAAATAAAAAAAATTAATTGTAGTTCTATTCGTCAAAGAGTTCCAGTAGCGGTCACCGAAGTACACTTTCAAGTTACTCTGTCAAGTCTGGAGGTAAGAACTATTCATGATTAACAAAACAAGCCCAAACTCGGCACATCTAGTTCTCCTTGTCGAGGAGTTCCAGTAGCAGTGATCAAAGTCCACCTTCAAGTCACTCTATGAAGTCAGGAGGTAAGGTCTCATCATAAACAAAACGAGTCCAAAATCGGCACACCAATTACTAATCGTCGAGGAATTCCAGTAGCAATCATCGAAGTACACCTTCAGATCACTCATTCATGTCCGGTGGTTTTTTTTTATAGAATAGGGGGCAAACGAGCATGCGGCTCACCTGATGGTAAGTGACTACCGCCGCCCATGAACAACCGCAACACCAGGGGAATTGCAGATGCGTTGCCGGCCTTTTAGAAAGGTGTAAGCTCTTTTCTTGAAGGTTCCTAAGTCGTATCGGTTCGGAAAATTCGCTGTTGGTAATTGATTCCACAAAGAAGTTGTGCGAGGGAGAAAACTTCTTCTAAATCACACAGTGGTGGACCGCCAATCATCCAGATGGTATGGATGGTAACGCGAGTTTTGTCGCGATGTACGATAGTGAAATTGAGCGGCTGGAATTAGTCCGAACAATTCCTCAGAGCACTCCCCGTGATAGATGCGATAAAATACGCAAAGAGATGCAACATCTCTACGCAGTGCCAGTGTATCGAGCCGATCGGAAAGAACTCGGTCGTCGACAATTCGAATCGCTCTGCGCTGGATGCGGTCAAGTGGAAGGAGCTGGCATTGGGGTGCCCCGGCCCAGAGATGAGAACAGTATTCCATGTGGGGCCGAACTTGCGCTTTGTAAAGTTGCAAGCGATGTGCCGGCATGAAATACTGTCTCGCTCTGCTGAGCACGCCAAGCTTTTTAGAGGCCAATTTGGCCTTCCCTTCCAAGTGACCACGAAACTGCACGCTATTCGATATGTCGACGCCAAGGATTCCGATACTGGCTGAGGCAGCAAGGGGAGTGCCTTGAAACTGAGGAGATACGACAAAGGGGTTCTTTTTAGCGGTAAACGCGCAAACTTGTGTCTTCTGGGGATTGAACTGGACTAGATTTAGTCGGCCCCAATCCGAGACTTTGTTAAGCAAAGACTCGACTTCAGACACAAGTTTGTCCCGGTACTCGGAGACGTTTTCCCGAGAAATATTGGCACGGCCGGTATATAAGGCATCCCCAGTGCTGTCGTCTGCATAGCAATGAATGCTACCAGTTAGCAACATATCATTGATATGCAGGAGAAACAGCGTTGGTGATAGCACGCTGCCTTGTGGAACACCAGCGTTGATAGGCTTGAAATCAGAGCATGCACCGTCCACTACGACCTTGATGCTCCGATCAGCAAGGAAACTGGTGATCCATTTGCACAATTTCTCGGGAAGCCCATAGGAAGGAAGCTTCGAAAGAAGCGCCTTGTGCCAGACCCGATTGAAGGCCTTCGCTATGTCCAAACTAACGGCAAATGCCTCCCCCTTGGACTCTATTGCCTCCGCCCATCTATGAGTTAAGTAAACTAGAAGATCACCTGCTGATCGACCCCGACGAAAACCGTACTGACGGTCACTGATCAGCTGGTGATCCTCAAGGTACCTCATGAGCTGGCAGTTTATAATGGACTCCATTATTTTGGAGAACAAGGAGGTGATGGCGATAGGCCTGTAGTTGGACGGGTCTGAGCGGTCGCCTTTTTTAGGGATCGGGTGGACCAAAGCTGTCTTCCATGAATTCGGGACTACGCCTTGGGAGTAGGAGTACCGCAAAAGACGCGTTAAAACCGGTGCCAACTCCGGAGCACACGTCTTCAGCACAATGGGAGGGACTCCATCGGGCCCACTCGACTTGCTGACGTCTAAGGAGAAGAGTGCTTTGCGAACCGAGCGCTGTGTAAATCGCACATCCGGCATGGAGCACTCACATCGCGGGATGGTCGGCGGTGTGTTCCCCCCGTCATCTAGAGTAGAGTTAGACGCAAAAAGAGAGCAAAGGATGGAAGGGATGGCTGACAGAAGTTCCCTTGGACAGCCTTGGCGAGAGACCAGAATGCACGAGTTCCCGAAGGAAAGCGAACTAGCTTCTCGCCAATTTTGCCGATGTGCTCAGACCTTGCCTTGGCAATGACGCTTTTGAAGGACCTGGAGGCGGAATTATACTTCTTTTTAAGTGCGCTGGTGTTTAAATCTCGAGACGTTGATGCGTCAGCCCAGGCCCGGTAGCACTCCTGCTTATAGCGTGATGCTATTTTACAGGAGCGACCAAACCATGGCTGGGATCTGCCTCCGATGGGCACCACAGAGGATGGAATAAAAAGTTCCATACCCTGAAGTACCACATCAGCAACAGAATCGGCAACAACGCTGGGATCTTCCGGCGAGAAGCAAACCCGCCCCCAAGGGTACGATGCAAAAAAAGACCGCATCCCGTCCCAATCAGCTGACCTATAGTGCCAAACACTGCGGCAAGCTGCAGATCGCAACTGCGATTGGAGCGTGAGTGGCACCGTGCTCCGGATCAGACAATGGCCCGAAGAGCCCAGAGGGGCATCGACGGAGACCTGATATCCGTCCGGATGAGAGGTCAGCAGAAGGTCCAACAGGGAAGGTACATGGTCTTCCACATCTGGGATCCGCGTAGGCAAAGTAACCAGTTGTGTTAGACCATATGCCAAAGCAAAGTCGTAGACAGATCTACCCGCATGATCGGTTAAACGAGAACCAAGCCATTCAGCGTGGTGGGCGTTGAAATCACCGAGTATCACGATCTCTGCGGATGGGACCTGTTGTAACACGGAGTCTGCAGCCATTTGGACGTGATCGATGAGTCGGTCTGTGTCGGCATTACCGCTATGGGACCTATAGAGGCACCCGTAGACGCGGGGATGGTCGTCGCTGTCTACGCGCAGCCATAGGATGGACAGGTCCGTACCTTCAAGGCTGCCGAGGCGTCGAAAACAGATGTCCTCTCTGACGTATACACAAACTCCAGCCCGGTGCACAAAGGAGTGTTCCAATTTTATCCCGGGTAGGAGAGATATGAAGTATCAGCTGGAGAGGACACCTGAGTCTCGGTTAAAAAGAGCAAGACCGGCTTCGCCGTCTCTAGATGGTAATGGACAGCGTTAAGGTTGCAATGAAGTCCCCTGATGTTGCGAAAATTCACGGATAGCATGACAGGGGTCACCTTGGTTGTATTGCTCCGCTTGCCCCGAGCAGCATTAGTCACGAGCGGAATTTTGCCCCCCCCAGAATACGCGGGGCAGCCTGAGCACCCACGCTCAGGAGTGAAGTAGTTTGGTCGTGGATGCTCAGCGAGGGATTCTCCAGGGGTGCTGGTACCCTCCTGGGGTAGTCTCTTATTTAATTCCACTACCATGTTGATGGGGGGGGGGGGGGGGGGGATTGGGCCTCCGGCCACCTGCACTCACCAAGTGCAACGCAGAGGTAAACCTCTACTTCACGCTGGTATTCTGTGAGGTCGTGGTACCACCCCGGTTCGAGCTGGCCCATCCGTGCGACAGCCAAAGCTACCGCTTGGCTCTACCAATGGTCTCATCATAACTAACAAAACGAGGCCAAACTCTGCACACCTAGTTATACTCTTCGAGGAGTTCCACAATCATTTACCTTTCAGACAATATGCTTTTTATATCTTTTATATGTTCAATATGATTATTAGATACGATTTTATGCAACAAAACGTCGGAATTTTGATATTCAGGCACCAGTAGAACATAACTACGCGCTTTGCGCTTAATGCATGCAAAATAATTTTAATAAAAAGTAAAAGCCAACTTTAAAGAACTAAAATAAATAATTTATGTTTTCTAGATCTGCTATTATCATTTTTCTAGTTTATCTTTTTAGGTTAGTCCCTTTTTACTCTCGCAAGTTTTCTGTGTTAGACAGGGACCTTGATCACTGACGACTTGCTAATGATGATCCACCCAAGCCTAAAACTTAGCCTGATATGGCTCAGTTTCAGGCCTGGGTAACTCAAAAAATCTTGATTTGGTGTAATAACACCTGTCCATGTTTTAGTGTAGGCCCATATCACATTTTGTACGAAAATCTAAACCAGAGACTTTCAACTCTCATCTTATCCAAATCACTTTATTTTTCACACAAATTGATGAAAGTTTGGCACTTACAGTAACACTTAAAGATTTTTTTTAAATATTAATTTCAAGAAATCTCTCCTTTGAATAAGCAATGCACGTCATGTTCCTAGTTGTGAGTAATCAGTTTCTATAGAAGTGATTTAACACACTAGAACACCAGACACAGTAAAGTGAGTGAACACAATTATGTAGCGTATGTCTGTTGTACTCAGGCCTACTAAATTTAGCTCCCTTACTTTTCATGCTCCTAATAGATTTCAAAGTGTTAATATTCAAAGATCAAGCTACTATGTACTGATAACATTATAATTTTATGAGTATTGACAAATCAATTAAATTTCTACAGCTAAAATGATCTGTATAGTTAATAAACACATATATCGATAAAAATTGTTAATTCCTTACTAGCTATAAATGCAACTCTTTAAAAAATCTATATTTTAAAATTAATAATTTTGTACAACCAACTTCAATATAAATTCTTAAAAATAACTCAAAAACTATTGGTCAGACCTTGATCAAATTTATATGGGACCACACGTGAAGCACCAGCTTTCAAATAAAAAAGAATCATCGAAATCGGGCCAACCAGTAAGGTAACACACATAAAAAAAACATACAGTCGAATTGAGTACCGTCTCCTTTTTGAAGTCGGTAGAAAATGAAACTCACTTGAAAAGATTTATTGTATTCGGCTAATGCTCTCTTTTTAAGCAATGCAGCCATTTCGCCAGCGATTAAGTAGTTATTGGTACTAAACTTTTATTATTAATAGGTTATAATGAAAGTTAACATTCTATTCCGAATAGAATGTAATCACCACAAATATTTTAATAATTTCTTATATACTCAAAGGAAAAGAATAATTTTATGTTGTTTGGTAAACTAGTGTCAGACCATAGATAAATATATATATGTAGCAAGCTATGTCAGACTGTCAGAAATTACTTTTTTTTTTAAACTGGCTTTACGACTCTGGGTTCTAGCCCTTCTGAGCCTTCAGAAATGACAGAAACACAGACTAGATAGAGAATGGACGGAAACAAAGAGGTTAGAGAGAACCATAGAGTACTTCTAAGTCATAGGCGTGTGAATGACACGCCCATTACACCTACCTAGGCAAGTGCGCTAGCACTTCTTACTAGTTTGTGTAGGCAAGCGTCAATCAGTTCGATCAATCATGATTGATTAATAATGATAGAATAATTTCGAGATTACTCGCTCATGCTGATTGATGTCAGTCAAACCCAAATTTTTGGAGGGAAAGGACCTACCTATAAACTAAGTTCATTTTCGATTCACCATTTAACTATAATTTAATATCTTGAAAAGAAAAAGAAAAAAAAAACGAATAGGAAAAATTGTAATATTTAATATCATTTTACCCATATATGGCTATGGGTTATGCCTTATGAGTTTTTGGTAGGTACCTATTGTAGGTAAGTTTTAGGGGCACTGAAATAAATTCATAACAACTTTTAATTTTAAATCGTGCATGTCACAAGCATGGAATATGTATTAAGGCAGACGACAACAATTATTTTATTTTAATGTTTTACTTCTTACCTTACTGTGGTTTAGCTTTAAGCAGTTCCATTTTTCTTTTAACGCTAAGTAATTAATTAAAACAACATTATAATAAAAATTATGTGTTATACATCGATTTCTTATAATTTAATCATCCAAGTTTTTGAATCTTAATCATCATTTCAGCCCTTCACAAGTCCACTGTAGAACATCATCCTCCATATATTGCCGCAAAGCATGGTATGAACCACTTTCCTTGTTATGACTTTTTCATTTATGTTCTTAAGTTATAGTAAAATTAGTATTACTAAGTTGTAGTTAATTACATTTATTGTTTGTTTTTGTTTTTCTCAAAAAATAATTATATATTGTATGGTGTTCTCAACATATACCAAATGATTCAAAAGCAAGTACATTTGCTAAATTTTTAAATCAAAAACCAATTTTAAAATATAGACGAATTGATCATAACTTCCTAACTATAAAATAAGTTATGATCTAATTAATGGTATTTATTCCAGTTTATGACAGCCCTGATTTATATTACGTGGCTGAAATTAGGTACTTCTTATTATGTACGTCAAACCAAATAACAGCCGGGCGGCTGACATTAAGCACTCCATACATTTCGTATATCTAATTACAGCCCCTTTAATTTCCACTAAAATAAAATAAAAAACTTATAGATTTGAACAAAAGTAGCTGCATTACTACGTCTATAGTCACATTCATACAAATCAAACAGCCTAAAGATTAGCTAATGTAAAATATGCTTAGTTGTATCTGGACCATAACTTATCAAAAATTAGGAAAATGAGCGTTTTTCGATGCGTACGTGTTTTGATTTTTAATCAAAACTGTTAGGTTTAAAACTGTGAGGTAATATTGGAAATATACTTTCCTCTAGCTACGAAGAATTTTTTGCCGACAATATTTGTAGTTAAGACTACTACAAATCTTATTTACGAAGTAAGAAGGCGGAAAGGCTGGAATTAGGGGCGTGGCTGGTATTAGGGCCATACACCCTACCCGGAGTTTTTCATGTCTCACAACTCGGGGAGAGCCTCAAAATTTAAAATAAAATCTTTTTCTGGCTAAAGCACGTTTGACGGGAGTGGCGACGGACTACGCGAGCGCGTGGAAGCCGCCTCTTCAATATATTCTGCGTCCGCCTCCAATGCTGTCTGAGCGGTGACTGACGCGTGATTGACGAAATGCCATTACACGTTCAATCAAAATTCGTGACTGATAGTTGATTGACGTAAAAATCAAAATATCCAAATATTTGTCAATCAATTTCATGCAACCGTCAATCACCGCATTACACGGTAGGTTATTCGTCAATCACAACCGTGATTGTTGTAAAACTGACAGCAAAACCTACCGTGTAATGGGCGTCTATCACTTTACGCAACAGACTCACTGATCCCAATCACTGAAGTGATTCAAAAGATTGATTCAGTAACAACTAGCAACGTTTCAAATGCATCATTTGGATCTGGAATAGTGAAACATTACTTTGCTCTGTGCTCATTACGCGCGACGCGTCGCTTGCGAGGGGACTGAGCCACGAGGAAAAGAGACAGACTGAGACAAACTTAACAGTGCTGCCAACTCTTAAAAATATTTAATACTAATACCATGTTTGTAAAATGCCAAAAATATGCTAAAGAAAAATGCTAACATGATTTTACAAGTTTTATTTTACAAAATAGTACAATATTCATAGACAGTCAAACAAAATATTCAGATCTCGTCGGTTTCTTCTTGGTCAAGTGCTATCGGTGGGTCTAGAGCAGACGACGAGGACGCATATACCTCATTTGACGCTACCTTTCGTAATATTGGATCAGATATCAAAATCTTACGTACAAAATTGCGCTTAATGTTGTTAAAGACAAACTGTTTCTCAGTTTTGTTTTTACCTAGTCAACTTGGCTGTATACACGTTTAAATTTGGTAACGTCAGCAACATTGTTGCATATCCAGCCAGTTCCAAAAAGGGAATGTTTCCTGCAGCTTCCTTGATGTTCAGGACTTCACACCAAAATTCAGTGGTGGATGAAGTACACTGCCACTGCATACAATCAATGTTTTGCCATTGTGATACAAGCTTATCGATTTTTGTTGCATCCGTAGTACACTTTGCGCTATTTCTCTATAATATTCATATCATTATATCATTCATTGAATGACGTATATTATTCAATGACAAATTTCTACTTGTACCCTACATGTATCCATCTAGCGCCAAGTAGCGCCAGTGCTATGCTACTTGACGCTAGATGGCAGGATATATGTCAATATCGATGAAACATGACGTGAGACTACGGTTTTTCTTTTAGACCAGGAAAATGCTAAAAAATATGCTATATTCCCTAGTCTGGTGGCGGCCTTTTTGCGAGAACGTCACGTCTGCTAGTGCCTTAGCGGGTAATGGGTAATGCACGCGATATCGGCGCGTGGCGATTAAATTAGTAATTTCTCTAAAATATTGTATGGAAGCTATGTATAAAACTTATGTCATTTGAAATTTTATATTATTTACTATTACTCTATAGATATATAGGTTGAATACAATCTAAGAGATTTTATTATTCTAATTTCAAAGTTAGGCAACCGAATTTTAATAGTATTCTGTATATAATTCATGAAAATTTTACAAGAAAATCATTAATTAATAAAATAAATTTAATTTATTTACATCAATATACACTACTTTATAATAAGAAAGCAAAAAAACCACACATTCCTATACAATTTTTTTACACCACAAGCTTTTCAAAATCTTGACACATTTACAGCAACCCCAGCGTCGCACAAAGAATAGGGTATATTATTACTTTAATTTTGAGAAAGTAGCGAGTCAAGTGACATGCGATAATATTTCACATTAACGTCTGGTTTAAGTTCTTAATGTAGACAATGTTTCAGTACTAACAAGTATTTGGTTTAATATTTATACATTTTAAACAAAACATAAAAATAATCGCTGTGAGACGTCCTCTCCAACTTTGTATCACAGAGTAAATAGTATTGGATTTATTCTAAATATTATTTAACTTTCAACAAACAGATGAAATTTACAACTCAAACTATACAAATAAAAGGAATGCTGCCACACAAAAACATTGTAGAATTCAAGAATAAAAACAGATAATTTCACAACAAAAGAGCAAGTAGATAAAAAAATTGTGCTAACATAATATGGATAAGACCCAGTGGTGTCACATTTAAATTTCTTAGATTGTTGTTTCGGGTCTGGGTGTCTTTCATGTTCATAGTTTATTGTAAGGCTCCAGTGAAATAGAAATTATTTAGTTATTATTGCCAAAATTGTAATAATTGCCAAAATACACCGCTTGTCAAACCACCGCAAGGAACTCATTGATAATGATTTATGCTTTTCAAGCTATAGATGATAAAGGGATAGTATGTACATAAAATGTTATATATATATATATATATATATATATATATATATATATATACCTATAAATAATATTGTTAGGTATAATGAATCAATAATACGTGCTCCTTAATTGTTTGGGGCCTTCCTGAGGACCGATCACCACCATCACCACCACCACCACGCCAATCACGACCACGTTCACGTTCACTACCCACCATCACCACAACCTGTACACTTCGATCACCCCTCATACGCACACCCCTGCCTCTACCGCGGGGCCCACGTGTATTAGGGCGCCTTGGTACACTGAGCCAGAAAACATGCAATGAAATGGTAAAGCAATGAAAATTAAAATATATTATAAAATAATCCAAAACGTCCAGTAAATCAAGTGTTATGTACGATATGTATATTTGACGATATACATAAGTACATTTTTACGATTAAATAAATAACTACTTCAAGAAGTACGTTATATAAAATATTAAAGCACCTTCATTTTAAGTACATGACCAGAAAACGTCGCAGTGCATTAATTGACTGAGATGACATAATTTTATGGGGTTATTGATATTTACATAAAATAAAGCAATATCATGGGGAAGGTTGCTTTATATATTATCAAATTGAAACGTGGATTAATGAAGTTTGGTACTAACATTATTATCTAATAGTAGCTATTGTTGCGCCACTATTAATGTCTTGTATATGGCAACACTAGTTCCCACTAGCGCCCTCTAGTGTCGAGTAGCAGAACTAGGAGAATCAAGATCCTTCTAGAATTTCG